GGCACGCACGCACACGCGCCCAGTGTGAGTTTAAGCCACCGGGTCCGGGACTCGAACCGCGGTCGACTACATGGGAGTTCAGAGACATAGCCATTACCCTAACTGCTGGTCCCCAGCATGGGCTTTCTCAGGGGCACTCCTTGGAGACCTGGTACCTGGGAAGGGGGCTTGAGAGGGACAGAGGGAAGGGATGGGGTGGGGACTTGTTTGGGAATCTCAGGTGGAGATGAGATCTGGGGAGCTCCTGAAATCCTATGGTGAGAAACCCTTTCACCTTGACCCAACAGCCTCAGCCCTGAAGGCTTTATTTTATTTATTTATTTATTTATTTAATACTTTATTTATTTTAATTTGAACCTGAAAGGGACAGGGTGAGAAAAAGAGAGAGAAAGCAAACCACCTGAGACTTGAACCGTGGTCAGCCATGGGGGAGTCCAGCACCCTTAACCGCCACGCCACCTGCCAGCCCCAAAACCTTCATTGAGGACTGCAGGCAATCCCGACCGGAAACGGAACATAGAGTTCACACGCCGACCCTTCAGTCCCTGGTTGCTCTTTCCTTGTTCCCCTCCAGCAGCCAAGAGGGCTGCAGGGCGGAGTGGGGCTTACAAGGGAGTTTCAGACCTCCCGAGGCCCCCAGGACGGTCCTTTCCTGTCCCCAGGTCTCGGACGACACGGAGACTGAGGTCCAGGAAAAGTTGCAATGGCCCGAGGGGAGCGCTGGCAGGCCCGCGCTCAGCGTCCGGGGATCACGTACTCCTCGTCATCCAACGGAGCCCTGCCCAGAGACTGCAAGTAGCAGTAGACGGGCTGGGACGCCAGCTCCAGGTCCCGGTAGTTCATGTAACAGCCGTTGTCCTCCAAAGGCTCCTCCCTGTGGGGACAGACAGACAAGCCGGTGACGGAGGGAGCATGGGGAAGGAGAAAGTTCAGGGCGGGGCCAGCTGGTGGAATGACAGCTAAGGCCACTGGATCTCACATGGCCAATAGCAAGGTTCAAGTCCCAGGGCTGGCAGCTTGAGAAATCACGCCGGGCGCGTGTGCGTGCGTGCCCAAGATCCCGAGAGGAGAATGGAGGAGACGGGATTGTGGCGTGGCCATCCCCCCCGGGGGGGTGATTTCTAGCTTTCTGTCTCTCTGTCTCTATCTCTGTGTCTCTCCCACAAGAGCATGTGTCCTATAGGTTTAAAAAAGGGCAGAGAGGGATGGCAGGTGGCATGTTGGTTAAGACACTGGATTCCCACATGGCTGATGGGGGTTCGAGTCCTGGAACTGGCTTTCTTTCTCTCTCTCTCTCGGGCACACGTGCCCTATAACAAGTGAATAATAATAATAATGATACATTTTTTAAAGAGTTCAGGGACCAGCAGATGGCATAATGGCTACGTCTCTGGACTCCCATGTAGTCG